ATAAATAAAAGGAACCAATTTTAACGTAAGTGGCCATCAAAAATTTTGAACTAATTTTTGACCAAAAACTAATTTCAATAGATATATTTCAACATTGAAATATTGGGAAGAAACGACAATTAAAATGTGGAGTCTGACCTGAGTTATAAAACCTTCCAAAACTACCCCCAATAATTGTGCCAACAACTCGCGAAATCGGCTGGTTGTCCTGTTTATTAAGGAGTTGGAGCATGCCAGCCAATTGGGCATCAGGCTTTCTTTTTTCTTTTTTCTTTTCCTTTTTAATTTGATAAATTAGCATGGAGACCTTTTTTTCTTTAATATAACAAATTTTAAGATAGGGAATTAAATTTCTAACTTCTAAAAAAGATATTTTAACTATTGAACTATACTTAAATTGGTAAATATGCATCAAGTTAAACAAAGTCTTCATTATCAATTATATTGTAATTAATATTTGAAGTTTGGGTTGGATGCGTCGTTATCAATATATTAATTTTCGAAGCACTCAACCAACCGTTTACGATTTCTATTTTAAGGCGCTATCAAAAATTTAAATTAAAGTTAAATAACTTGATAAAATTGTGGATGATATGATGATTTTTTTATAAAACACGACATGTGCGCCATCCCACGTGAGAAGCTCTTTGGAATACAATATATTAAAAAAAAATTCATTGGACTACGGTTCGTTTCAACATTAACTACATTATTTAAATATTTATCTCAAAATATATTCATAGAATATGGTCTTTGACAAACATTTTCTTTCTTAAATTATAATATTTCAACTTGCAATGTATGGCAAGCCAATATTGACATGACAAAGAAGTTGTTTTTGTGTGTACAATTTTGTATGGCGTGTCAAAATCAATCGAGGTTGAGTTTTTTGATTGGTGTTAAAGTTGAATGCGTCACATAAATATGATAGCACACTTTGTGAGCTACGTTCATGAGATTTATATTGAAATATTTGTTAGTTTTCGTTTCTTCATGACAAATTTAAGCATATAATATATATTTTACAGGAATAAAGTATCAAGAGGAAATGAGACATATTTGGATCAAAATGAGAAAAAAATTGGAATCAAAGTGACCAGGATGGAATAACAACAAGATTTAAAGCAAAAAACCTGAGCATATAGTGCCACGGCATTGGTCTAGAGCGTCGCGACGCTCCGAAGTTTAAATTTCACGTTTTGTGAATAGTGTAGTACCATATTCCTGCATATAGCGCTATGGTGCTGTCTTGACGATTTTTTTTTTTTTAAATAAGGTTTTGCAGGCATCGAGAGGAGGGAGTTTAGGACAGGTTTTTGGGTAGTTTGCCTTTTTGGCCAATTTGGAGGGCAAGGAGACCATTTGAGAGCTTAGAAATGTGATTTTCAAGGCTTGGGATCGTGGAGGTAGCTTTGAGGGTGGACGATTGACACGCCGAACATAGTTTATTCTCATTTCCCTTGATTTTTCTAGTTTTGTTATGAACCTCTCATTGTGATTTTATTGTTTTACATTGAATATGAAAAACTAAACCTCTTATTTTAGGAATTGATGTAGCCATTGAACTTTATGCATTGATTGTTTAGTTTTCTTGATTAAATGTTTATGAATGTTTTATTTATGCTTCTCTATGCTTCATGTCTTGAATCTACAGGCCATAGATTGATTGATTTTAGACTTGAAATCTTACGCTCGGGAGAGGTGGTTTAGAGTTAGAACTAGGATGTATAACTAAAGAGATTTTAAGATCGGGAGATTTAGAAGTAATTTAGATGTCGTTAAAAGACTTCCTCAATAAAGTCTTTACTTGTTATAGAAACTAGATAGAGATATTGGTTTCATAATTTGGTAAGGAGAATTAGCTTGCACTCGGGAGAGACAGTTGAGATTTGAGAGTTCTTGGCCTATAGAATATATAATTCGTTCAATCTTGAGTAATTGATTAATTGGTTCATAGATTCAATAGGTGAAATCAATTCCCTAGGACATTTCTCCACATTGTTTTTATCTTTTTCATTGCATGTTTATTTGCTTTGATTATATTCGCCCATTTGATTTTGATTCTCTACAGTTGAACGATTGTAACTGAGATACTTGAGTGATCTAGAAATCCAATCTAGATGACGATGTCAGTATTAATTTACCATTTTATTAAAACTTGACCCGTACACGTGTGATAAGCAATTTCTGCTGCAAAATAAAAACTTAAAATGAAAAGGAAAAAGCATGCACATATGGATGAGATTGCCTACAAATGAGGGTTAAAAGTATAGAGATAGATGGATGTTTAATGACATCCACTAGAAAATCACACGTGGCTTCGAAAATATTTGCCCAATATTTGAAAAGCTATGGTAGTAATATTTGAACTTCAAGGTGTACTAAAAAAAACTTCCAAATAAAACTTTGTATGAATTCTAAAATTATATCATTTCAAACAAAATCAATTATTTTTATTATTTTAAATCATGTAATTTAAAATCATAAATTACATTTATTCCAAAATACATGTTAAAAAAATAAAGGTTAAAATATTATTTTGGTATCTGTATTTTCAACTTTGTTCATATTGTGTCTATACTTAATAGCAAGAGGGCTGAGTAATGGAGCAAGCGGAAATAAAAAATACAGCCCTTCTACTTGTGCCTAGTACAAAATGTATAAAACACAACTTTGAGTTGCACCAATCGCACACCATGAAACTAGGTTCCACTCTTATTCCAAACTACTTCTAGATGTTTAAGAATTTAGGCAAACTATTATATATGTCTATTAATAACTATAATCCTATGTGAATTTCTCAACCAACTTCTACGAAGTTATTTATTTTAACTTGATGAAAATATGTTTTAAGAATAAAAAACGAACATCGGAAAAAGCCAAGACATTCATAAAGGACTAGAAAAGTAATTAGCACATGCTTAAAATAAAAGAAAGTAAATAAGATGAAAGCAAAACAAAATTCATTATTATTAAATAAATAGAAATGATTATAGGACATGAATATGCAAAGTATTAAGCCGGAAATGAGAGACCTTGTGGGAAAATACAAGAAATAGCATATCTAAACTTTACCCTTTTTATCTTTGGAACGTAGGGGAGCAATTAACTCATTTTTACATTGCTTGATATTTTTGAAGAAGCTTAAGCTTCAGAAATAAAATAATTCGTGTAAACAAACTAGAATTTAATTGACAGAAAGTATGAAAGATTTATCAGCTTGAAACGTAAAAGCAAATAGCTGGAAAATGAATAGAAAAGCTGAAAAACTTAAACAACCAAATGGTTAGTTCATGTTTTGTTTCTTCATCTTTAATAGAGATAAAATGAATTGCATGGTCCCAACATCCATTAGTTCAAGCAAGATAAAACATATATTTTTTTTAACAAATTAGAAATGAGAATGAGAAATAAGAAATTTGTTTTAATCCTTTCTATATATTTTTTTTAGAAAATCGAAAAAAATAATTGTTATCCCCTAAAATGACGAGGAAGGATCCCGCGCAACTCCTACCTTTGCTGAATTGACAGGAGCTACTAGTTGGTTGAATGATTGCAAGATTAAAGGAAATTAGATATTTAAAATCAGGTTATTGACTGAACTGTACGATTTGCCCAATCATCTTGGCTAACTCGGTCAAATGGTTATGCATAATGGGTCAAACGCTCACATAATTCACATTTTAGAGTTTTTGGAATTTCGTTTGGAGTGCTTGATGCTTCATTTATGCAGTGCTGTGTTTTCCATTGAAAAACATAGAATTTTCTAGTTTGTTTTGCTAAGTTATGCAATGCTTGATAGATATGGATAACTTTTACCCAAATAAGCTCATTATAGATATGTATTTGTTAAATTAGGCTTAAATTAACATGAACTAAATACCAATTTACCCTTTAAATCAAGGGTTATCAATCTCGATACTTTTAAAATATTCATTTTGGTTGTTGTACTTTTAAAATGTTCATTTTTATCTGTTACTTTTAAACTTTGTTCATATTAGTCCACGTATTTTCAAAATATTCGTTTTGATCATTATACTTTTAAAAAGTGACCATTTTGATCCATAATTTAAAAATCTTAACACAAATTTTACGGGGACTAAAACGAACCTTTTGAAAGTTGAGATGCAAAAGTTGAGAGTATATTGACCAAAATAGTATTTTAATAAAAAATATTAATTAAAAAAATGTTAAAAATACTATTTTGGTTGATGTACTTTTGAGTTTCTGTTCATTTTGGTCATGTACTTTTTAAATATTAATTTTGGTTCATGTACTTTCAACTTTGATTAATTTTAGTTCATATACTTTCAATGTCATTTTGGTACTTATACTTTCAAAGAATAAAAATTTTAGACCATACTTAAAATTTTTTAACACAAATCCTACGCGTAACTGAAATCGTTTAACATAAATTTATGATTATATTTTAAAAAACATATTGAATATAGTGTCGTATTAAAATTGTGATCGAAAAATGAGATATCACTTTTTAAAAAGTATATGGACTAAAATGCACATGTTCATTTTAACTAAATATTCTACTTTTTTAGTCAGAGTCCTGCCCAGAGAAAGTAACTGCGTTTTAGATGTATACATAGGCAAAGCCGTATGGAATAAAAAATGCAAGCACTGGGGATAATTTTTTTTACTTATTTTTTTTATCAAGTGAATTATTACTCCATCCGACCAGTTCCAGGTTCCAATTTCGAACAACCTATATTAATTATAATATTAAACTAATTTATCATATCGAATAATATATAAAGTCTAACAATCAATGGAAAGAAACTAATTTATCATATCGAAATAATATATAAAGTCTAACGTGACAAGGACTAAAATAATTATAAAAAACGAAGAAAATAGTATTTAAAAAAATTATAAAAACACGCCAATAATAAACTGATGCCACGTGCGCAGAGTTCACCAAACTGGCCCCATCAATATCCACGGACCAATAGTAGCAGGGCGAGTAGTTGACTAAGCTCTTCTAGAAGTCAATGTTGACCGATCAACGACTGCTCTGTTCTGTGCTATAAACCATTCGTCGCCGGCTCGCCATTCTCCTTTTCGATCGAGAAACCGTTCCGACGATGATCTTCGATCTCTCCGATTCAACCGTCCGGCTTACTAATTCTACATCTAAGTGGATCAGAGAAGAATTTTGAATCTTCGATTCATTTGATTGCAACTGTTTTCCTCTCTAGGGCGACCCGATTTTGGTGGAAACCACGGCTGATCGCTGAATTGAGGCGCACATGGTCGAGGGAGAAATGAATTGATTGATTGCAATTGCATTATTAGTAGAGAGATGAACGCAAGCAACGCGTCAGTTCAACCGGTGGAAGAAACTCCGACGACAGATGGTGGAGACGCGCCGATAGTGAGAATGAAGGACATAGAGGGCATGCCCGGAACTCGCGGTGGTCTAGCTCTTCGCTGCTTCCAGTTTGGGTTTGCAGTTGCCGCGTTTGCTGTCATGGCCGCCTCGAGCGACTTTCCTTCCGTTTCTGCGTTTAGGTAAACCCTCATCGATTCGATCGATTTTTGTAGAACTTTTCTTTTATTCCACTGAATTCCTATTCAAACTTGTTTGATAACACTCACGAATGACAATAAAGGAAGAATCCAAACATTTTTGCTAGACATTTTTATATGAATTTCAGTTTTCGCTACACGTATCCAGAGAAACCCTCAATTTCCACTACTTTCATATTAATATCTACATCACGCGATCAGTGTTATGAATAGTAACGCAGATTTTTTGCCCATCGCGATATTTCATTCATTTGTGACATCCGACTGGGGTTAGTTTTTGGGTGCTTTGCATTTTCTACAAGATGACGTGCCTGATACACTCCACGTTTTCCTTTGCATCAGCTACCTTGTCGCCGCTGCTGGTTTGCAGGGTTTGTGGAGCCTTTCCCTGGCAGTTATTGACATTTATGCTCTTCTAGTGAAGCGCTCCTTGCAAAATCGTCCAATTGTTAGCTTTTTTGCTGTTGGCGATGGGGTAAATTCATTTAAGACACTTAAGTTTTAGCTCTTTCTGAAACCACTTGTATCGTTAAAATGCTCTTACCAATGCTCTTTATGACTTTTCTTGTATCAAACATCTCTTACCAATGCCTATTAACATGTACTCACGATAATATTATAAGAAAGTGAAAAAATAACCACACCCATAACCAAAGTTTTCAGCTGAATTTTCTGAATCAGAAAATTTTGTCTTCTAACCCATGTTGTGAACTTTATCATTATCATCATCATCAAATTCTATGTTGGTTACAAATAGTGAAATAGTTGCCTATCTTGTCTCTCCCTACAGGTCACCACCACTCTCACATTTGCTGCAGCATGTGCTTGTGCGGGGATCACAGTCCTAATAAATAACGACCTTGACCTCTGTTCGGTGAACGACTGTGTGCAGCTTCAATCTGCAACTGCAATGGCATTCCTCTGCTGGTTCATCACATTACCTTCCTTTTTCTTCAACTTCTGGTCGCTGGCATCGCGATAATTCACTTACAGGAAAGACATTCAAACAAACACGAACAAAACCGTCAGTAAATATCCCTTCCCTTAGTATTAATTTTTCATTTTTCCTTTGTATTGTCAGTTTTGTTGGGATATACTAGGCTGATATGAATGACATTATTGAGTCGATCCTGTTCTTTCATTGTTTATGATATACTATGGCGATACCATATATGTTCATATTACAATATAGTTTAATGTTCTTTCATTGGTTATGATATTATTCTGAGGAATGTAGAATCCAATGTTGTTGTCTGAAAGAGTAAATTTTTCCCTCTCCCTCTTTATGTCCAGTATACTAATTGAAAATGGGAACGTTTGTCATTATCATCTTGTGTTTTTATTGGGTATTGTGAGTTTCATCCCAGAATGAGACATGATCATTAATCTTGGACAAAACAGAAATTAGACATGATCATTAATCTTGGACAAAACAGAACTACACTCTGCTCTACTCCCTAGCGTGAGTTTCATACTATAATTGTAATAGTTTAGTTATCCCAGTCTACATATTTACTAATTTCACAGGTTGAATGTAAAATTACACAGTTTCTAAAGTTAACTCAATAGGTTTAACACTAAATTGTGCAAAACTCAATAGAGACATAAACTTAGAGAAACCCATTATTTTGAAGGAATTAAATTTAAGAAATACAAAGTCAATCAAATTCACATCCATACTATCCAACTTCATGCTATTCCGAATCCCATAAATCAAGGGCCGTTACTTTTCCCTACCAATTTCTCTACCAGACATGGCCTAACTTTTCCATCTTATAATAGTAAAAAGTCAGAGACCAGAAGACAACCTTTTCTTCTTAGACTAGTAAAATTTCAAATTAATATCATCCTTGTGGGTGCTCTCACTAATATTAATGCAAATACAAAATAAGAAGGTTAGTTGTTGAACCTTCAAACTTGTGTAGTCGTATTTGATATGTCTTTTAAGAGTTTAATAAATCCTTGACTTTTAAGAGTGTATTATAAATCCATAAACTTTAAAAATATTTAACATGTCCTAGAACATTAAGAGTGTATCCACACAAAAGTGAAAGTTTACAGATGTATTATCCGTTAATAAACTTTTTAAATCTTAGGAATTTGTTAAACATCAACCTAAAAGTTTAGGTCTAGACATGTAATTTAACCTATGATATGCAATATAATGTTTGAAAACTTAAAGATCATTTCTTATTGTTGAAAGACAATGATGAATCCTTGAAAAATAAAAGTCAACCAAACAAAAGAAAAGGTTACTCATTCCCTTCCCACCAACACCATATCCAAAGCACAATCTTAGTTGGAAGCAGAACGTTGGGAACTTTCGGTGGCCACAACTTTGGCGAATCGATTCAGCTCTCAAAATAGAAATATTCCAATTGATTTGGTCAATTTCCTATTAATGCAGTCAATTCTGCCGGTTGGAAAATTGAATTTTTGAGCCATTTCAACCTCATAATTTAGCTATTCAAAGGCTATAATTTAAAAATGTTATGATATAACTTTAACAATATAAGAGTTGATGGAAGACGAGAGAAAAAATCATAGCCTGAAGCTTCAAAACTGTCTCCTTAATGGGTCATGTATTTGTATCTAATGGGCTGGCCAATATTTACATCAATCAAAATGGCATAAAAAGAACAGAATGAGATGAAAGCAATTAATTAACAATTTAATTAAATTACTTTTGCGACATCAAAACAAACATCTTCCACTTCACCTTCATTCCTCCTGTTCCAATGGTGAGGACTAGGAGCCATTGGCAAAAAGCTCAATCAAACAAAAGACCAGTTTATGAAGGAGAAGGCAAGGCAATGGACTGTTGTCTCGTCTGCCTCGAGGACTTTCCATGCAACGGCTTGTTCGTACGAAACGTGACGCCCCATTGTCGATGCGCAGATTCCTCCAGGCAAGTATGCAAATCCCTGATCATAAAGATAGACACAGTCAATAAACCAAGCATTTGGAACATACTTGAACCAACAGCATCTTGATGCAACATGTGAAAATCAAACTACCTGCTGCATTAACTTGGGGAAATCCGAACACAAAGCTTTGCGGCCCGACTCATCGAAAATCTTATCCAGTGTGATGTCTTGTAAGGCTACTAGAGTTGTCTCCAACATGTCAAGTCCGGATTGGTTTGCAAACATGAAAACTGGCAGCGACTGCTACCAGCAAAACCAGGAAAAAAAAAATCTCTATTTAGTTCCTGTACTGTTGATCCTACTTACTGTTAAATATGTTTTTATACACTAGTCAACGTACCTTCAATGAACAACATAATATTGCATCCTGATGATCCCAGAGATTCTTCAACAGGGAATCACTTTCCATGGAATCTGACCTGATCAACTCCGCTCCCAATTGGAAACTGAAACAAGGTAGATGAATAAAATTACCACAGCATTATCTGTATACGGGCAACGAAAACGAAACAATGTTCTAACTATGAAGGTTTGATCTAGCTTCATTACATCCTCGTATGCTTTACCTCCTCACTTTTTCTTATTCTAATGAGTTATGCCGTAGAAACCAAATGAAAGCATGCATTGAAGGAACGAGAAATTGTGATCACAAGATACCTATAGCTCTTGCATATCCAATGTGCTAGAGTAAGAGCTTCTGGAGAACCAGGAGAGAGCTTTGGGCCTAGCGCTGGGCTGCACCCAGATGGAGATATGGCCATGGCAACTCTCTGTACTGAGGAAATGACGCTCCGTACATACTGGTGTGCCATGTTCGCTACATTATCCTGCATGCTGCTTTCAAAAGGAAACTGGAACGCGATAGTTAACACTGATCTAGGGCTATGACTTGACGATACATCTCCAGCACTGTTGCTTGTTCCAGAGCCCACTTCAAGACTCGATGTTAGATCAAGGGTTCGTTGAGTAGTCAATGTACCTTTAGCATCATTCTGTTCATCAAGAAATCATCAGGTTGTAGGGTATCATCTTTATGAACATAAGAGCACATTCAGTGAAAGATGAATTTCAAACATGCCGATATCCATTTCCTAAAAATATGCTCTATATGCCGACAATCATGTCCTAGTCAAACCTAAGTAAAAATCCAGGATGGAAATAACGGTGTCCATAGAATTCAAATTATAGTTACGACTAGAAGTTTGCTGCTGATGAAGACGAAGGAGTAATGCAAATTCAAGTGAAACAACGTTACTCAACTGTTTTGGAATCCAATGGGATGATTCGAAAGCCAGAAGGCAGCAATGGGGCATCGTCTGGAAACATCTCGTCGATTGGAGCAAAAATGAGTTCTGAACAGGCTCCAACAGCATTCTCATCGATTCCACTACAAATCTGCCACAAAAGCAAGTTATTATTTAGCCAGACAAGACAACGAGGCATCCAAAACAATTCTGAGTAAGAAAATGAAATAGCCAATGACCTGAAGGAGATGAATGTCCCTTGACACAAAAGCATCTTCTTGCACCATAGGATGTCCTTCAAGTCGAATTACTTCAAGCAACTGGAATACAACATAATCAGCAACAAAACTTGTGTTTTATGTGGCCCATCACAATAGAAACATATGTCCAAGAAAAATAAGTGTCGTTTTCGACATGGGGATAATTTCCATGTAGTTGCTTAGGACCATTTACCATAAATGTGACATGAATTGAGTTATACATTTGGATTGTCTTATAAAATAATACATTTGCTTACTTCGGATGAACATTAATATTGATACTAAACTTTTATTATAATACTGATTTTGAAAACTAGAGTTGGAGGAGAATTAATTGCATCATATTACTCCATGGCAATATCATATCTAGCTCACCAACAGGCAACAATAGATGACTAGAAACAGATGCCATTAAAAACAAACCTCTTCATGTTCTATCGTGTGGCCAAGTGGCATGATGATTTGACTACCAGTAAACCTTGTGGGTCTCATCCCTGGATATGCATATGAATTAGCTTTAAGGGTTGCTGCAGAGTATGCATCAATGTTGAAATCAGCCCACTCCGAGCGATGTTCTCTCAAGAAACGAACTAGAACAGCAGGAGGAACATTCTAGCAAGGAAAAGGAAAGGATGAATAAAATCATTCGTCTATTGAGTCTAATCAAAATGATGAGAAAAGGCTAACAGTAACTTACTTGGAGTAGCATGGAAGCCTTTGCACAAAGAACTCCCCCAGGATACGTTAAGGAGTTAGCAGGGTTAGATGTTGTGCCCAAGTTTTTCGTAGAATTCACAGCGAGTACCACGTCCTCAGCACCATCGCAATTAATCAATGACCATCCATTGTCATTAAATCCATTCACTGCATCATTAAAGCCCCTAAAAGAAGATAATGCACATATGAACTAACATACACATACAGAAACGAGGGAGCATAAGACAATCTTTCAAATTTTCAATACTTAAAAGAGAAATAGTATGTAGATACCTGCTCAATCTTTGGCTAAAAGTTCGCAGAACAGCAGGTTGCCTGCCCAAACCATATACCACTTCACCACTCGTCTCCTGAGCTATTTGCCTAACGTAGCGCAGTGCCTTTGCAAAGACAAATATATGTTCAATTATTATTTAAAATTCACGTACATGAATTTTAAGAAAGAAATTTGCTCCAGCAATTCAGATATTCCACCTAGCAGGAATCTATTTTGTAGCAAAAAGGATACCCTGTAGAACACCTAATAGGTAACTGGGTTATCATTTGTATACTCTAATATTTACTTAATGGTATCTTAAGTAATCAACGTAAGTGAAAAGGCCTTATTGCTTCTAGAAAATCACATTTCAGCATGAGAATGTGTACGAAACAAGCTCCAGTTGGTATATAACAAATTTTCCTGGAATAAAAACTAAAACTTCTCAATAAATCCCCAATACATGAGGAAGGAAAAGTTCTCTTACTGCTATAGTCATCTTCTGAGCCACTACTTTTGATGATTCATAAAGTGGTCGCAGCACCTCAGGAACATTCCATGCCTAAGATATAAGCATAAGAGGAGCAATGTTACAATTCAGGAATCAAGGTTTTCCAGAGCTAAAAAAGCTATATGGGAGAGGTGCAAGACAAACCTCAAGATTTAGGTGATCTACTATATGTATGATGGACCCACCACCCTCACATGGTCGAATCAGATAGCCACTTGGGAGCATCTCAGCTCTCACAAACTGAGCAGCAGCAGTTGCACTAGGACCAGCCCCAGAACCAGAGAGAGATCTCTCGCAAACCTGAAAATATGGAGGGCGAAGAAAAACAACAGTCAGATTGTAAACAAATATTTCATTGCTGGTGGATAAAATGAATATGTCATGTGCACAAGTAAAAAAACATGCTTA